AACTTACATCAAATCCTGCATCTTCTAATTGCCCCATCTGCCATGCCAAACCAAAGAAGATGAATAATCCCAAGGGTGTCTTTACACCTAAACCTGGCACATTGAATTTTGGCCTAAGCATCTTGCACTTTGGCTTGCGGCGTTTTGATACAATTTGCAACATTGGATATCGCCAAGATGTCAAAAAGTTCCATCTTCATATGAGCCCTGATGAAAAAAGACTGGTTGCAAATCGGGAGGCACGAGTCAAGCAAGAATTTCGGGAGCAGCTGGGTCTAATTGTTGACCAGAGGCGGGATGGAGGTGCTGGCACTACAACAACAGGAAATGTTGCTTGCAAAGCTTTTCAAAACCCAGGTAGCTACACTTGCAAGTTTTGATACTTTCACCAAACTTTTTGGGAAGCATTCAGAAATAATTTAGTTTTTAGATATTATGTCTTGTCAAGTTGCATGAGCATCACACCATAGCTTTGCTGTCAATTTGGAGAAATTCAAATCTTGATATCTGTATATTCCTACATATTTTCTTTCTTTTTTAGAAATTGTTGCAAGAATCTGTGATGTCCCTGTCAAACTGGTTGAAAATCTTGGAACACTCTGGTCTGCCCTTGCATCTGGATATGCCATTGATCCAGACAAGTTTGGAGTTCTGTGTGAAGAGACTGAGAAGATTTTGACCATGTAAAATCGTACTGGTTGTCCCCAACAATTCACAAGGTTCTGAAACATGGAAAACAAATCATTGAAGCTTGTGTTCTTCCAATTGGAATGACCAATGAGGAACCAGGAGAGGCTAACAACAAATTTCTTCGAAAAATCCGTCTTTATCATGCTCGAAAATCATCCTGGCTCAATGGCATGTCTGACCTTTTCTTGAGACTGATGGACATCAGTGATCCAAAGATACAGGTAATTTTGGAATTAAGCATATCCAAAATTTTTCCAATTTCAATAATTTTTCATGCTTATTTAATTTAAATGATTTCTGAAACAGGACCTTTTTTCATTTGAATTTCCCAATTTAGCTTTGATAGCAATATTTTCTTTCATCCATTAAATGTTATATATAATTTTTAGGCTTATGTCCACTGCAAGAAAAAGAAGCACAACTCAGAGATCTTGCCTGAACCCATCAAGAAACTCTTGAAGATGCCGGAACTTCAAATTTCTAGAGATGCCTCTGATTCAGAAGAAGAATAAAGAAGTCAAACAAAGCAACCAAAGCCTCTCATAAAAATTAAAAAAATTCTCATACATTTCCAATTTTGTTATTTATCTAATGTTATTAGTTTCAACCAGATCAAACAAAATTGATATGCTTAACTCTATGTAAAAAAATATTTTCTTTGATGTAAGCACTTATGTTGTGCCTAATATAACTAACTAGAACCTCATTTGTGTTAATTTTTTTTAGCAATACATTTAAAAACTGTCATATATGATGGGCAGGTTGGTAATCTCCCTGTGGGTATTCCTCATGCTTAAGTAAAAATGTTTTCTGCCATTATCATGTTTGATATGATATTTGTGTGAAATTTCTTCTATTTAATAAATCCATTTTGATCTTTAAATATTTTATTTTTTAAAGCAATTTTTTGGGTTATTTACTTCAAATATGTTCATACCGGCTCTTTTTGAACACATAAAAAATGTTTTAGATTTTCTGCAGGTTTTGACCCCCAAAATGACCACTGTGTATAGTATATATTATATATATATATATATATATATATATATATATATATATATATATATATATATATATATATATATATATATATATATATATATATATATATACATATATATATATATATATATATATATATACATATATATATATATAAATATATAAAATATATACATATATATATATATATAAAAAGTGGTTATATAAAGTATAGTATATATTATATATACATATATATAATATATAAAGTTATATAAAGTATAGTATATATATTATATATATATATATATATATATATATATATATATATATATATATATATATATATATATATATATATATATATATATATATATATATATAATTGTTCTCCAGAACTTTCTTCAATTCTCTCAACAAGTGTTTGACTGAGTCTTGTTTTCCTGCTTGTTGGAAAATGGCATCTGTGGTTCCAATATTCAAAAACTCTGGAGAAAATTCTGACCCCTCCAATTATCGTCCGATCAGTCTTCTTTCTGTTATTAGCAAGGTCTTTGAATCTTTGATCAACAAATTCCTTACATCTTATCTTGAGTCAAATAAACTACTGTCAGACAATCAATACGGTTTTCGATCCTCTCGCTCTACGGCCGACTTGCTAACTGCTGTAACTGAAAGATTTTATTGTGCATTAGATGGAGGCGGTGAGGCTAGGGCTATTGCTCTCGACATATCTAAAGCTTTTGACAAAGTTTGGCATGCTGGTCTTCTCCATAAGCTTGCTTCATATGGTGTTTCTGGGAAAGTTTTTGAGATTATCCAATCATTCTTTCTGACCGGTTTATTAAAGTCATCCTTGAAGGCCAACACTCTTCTTTATTTCCAGTAACTTCTGGGGTTCCCAAGGTTCCATCCTGGGACCTGTTTTGTTTCTTATCTACATAAACGATCTTCCTGACAACCTTTCATCTAAAGTAGCTCTTTTTGCTGATGACTCAACTTTATACTCCTGTCTTGACAAAAAGTCTTCTCTTTTTGATCGCCTAGAACAAGCAGCTGATCTTGAATCTGATCTCACTTCAGTAATAGATTGGGGTTCACAGTGGCTTGTGAATTTCAACTCTAAAAAAACCCAGTTGCTTACTGCAAACAACTACCGTAATATGGTCGACATTCCTATATTAATGAATGGCAATCCTCTTATTGAGTCCTCCTCTTTACGTCTTCTTGGATTATCGCTTACTACTGACCTTTCATGGAAACCATATATACAATCGATTGCTAAATTAGCTTCTGCTAAGGTTGCTTCTCTTTATTGTGCTCGCCATTTCCTTACTTCTGATTCCATTCTCTACCTCTACAAATCTCTTATTCGTCCCTGTATGGAATACTGTTGTCATATTTGGGCTGGTTCTTCTAACGATTCACTTTCTCTTCTTGACAAGGTCCAAAAACGCATTGTAAATGTTGTTGGACCTGGACTATCTGCTAAGCTTGAACCTCTTTCCCATCGTCGTAAAGTTGCATCTCTTTCTCTTTTCTACAAATACTATCATGGTCACTGCTCAAAGGAGTTATCATCTCTAGTTCCATCAACTAAAATTCATTCTCGTTTTACTCGTCATTCAGCTAAGTCTCATTCGTTTACTGTATCTGTCCCTGCATGCTCTAAAAACTTTTATTCATCTAGTTTTTTTCTCCGCACTTCAATCCTTTGGAACTCTCTCCCATCTTCATGTTTTCCTGACTCATACAACCTTCAACTTTTCAAGTCTTCTGTCAACCATTTCCTTGCTCTATAACTCTGTTCTTTTTTTTCCTAGTAACTTCCAACTTAATAGTGGTTGCTTGCAGCCTTGTTGGGAGTGAATGCAAATAAAAAAAAAAAAAATATATATATATATATATATATATATATATATATATATATATATATATATATATATATATATATATATATATATATATATATATATATATATATATATATATATATATATAGTTGAAATTATATATTATACTATAAAGTTAAGTCCATTTGTTATAAATAGTATTGATAATCCTAATAAGACATTGTTAACTCATTAAAAATATTTATAGAATTTTACTCAAATTTTACTAAATCTAAAATTAATAAATTCATTAAAAAATATTGTAAAGATGTCATAATTAATCTAATTTTGACAATCAACAAATAACAAAATAGTTTTTGTATAAAAGATCCACTTGCTGAGCTGCTCAAATCCAATGATGTTTACAAGTTTTCTTGAGCTGGTTGTAATACCAATTATATTGGAGAAACCTCCAGACACTTAACGACAAGAATTTAAGAGCACCTTATAAGTGATAAACAATCTAATGTTTACAAGCAATTAATCTCATCCGTTTATTGTAAAAATCTTACTAACTACAATTGTTTTAAAATTTTGAATACTGCATTTAACAAAAACAAATCAAAAATTAAATAAAACTACATATTAAATGGGAAAATCCATGTTTAAATAAACTAACTGCACATTATTATATAAATTTTTCATTCTAGTTTATTTTATTTACTTAACATTTTTATGCTATTTATGATATCATAATTTGTATTGTAATTTTTATTGGTTTGTAACAATTCTATTTGTCTGTTAATATTTTTCTGTAATGTCTTCAAATTTTGATTTTATATTCCAGAGTTTTAAATTGTAATTTTATCTTTTGAATATGTATGTAAACTACAAAACATGTCAAGATTGAAAAATATCGTATTTTTCTTAAAAATATTTTTACATTTATTGCTATTAAGTTGCTTAAGAAATATATATTTCTTAAGCATATCTATATATATTCTCTGATATATTATAATCATTATTATTATTATTTTTAATTCACCTCCTCAAGGCTGAGAAAGCCAGTACAGACGAGGAGGCTACTTAGTTGTGGTTATAAACCCTCTCTCAATTCTATAACTCTGAAACATGAACTTTGATGAACTAGATAGCTGCGCGGAGAAATAAGTTGAGTGCGGTACTAACAGAGACGTGGTGGGAATCGAACTTGGAACGGAACTGATATACATATATATATATATATATATATATATATATATATATATATATATATATATATATATAAATGTTAGAAGATGATTTTTATATTTTTATATTCATGTTAACACATTTATGTTAAACATACAGTAGTTCAAGTTCAAAATTAGTTATCTTTTATAAAATGTTTTTTTTTTTTAAGTACCATCTTAAAATATAAAAGTACTTTATAAAAATGTTTTTTAATTTTTTTAGTATTACATTAAAATATAATAGTACTTTAAGAATAAAATTTACCTTAGTTTTTCCATTAAATAAATCCTTTAATGACTCATCAACTTTGTAAAAGGTTTCTTTTGAAACAATAGGTTGTTGACAGACAGGTTGAGTACTTGTATCACTATGTTTCTCATCTTCTGAAGATGAACTTTTTTCTTCATCTGTAAGTACTTCATACATAGATTTATTTATGTCAGAAGGATCATATCGATCCAGCTTAAAGTTACTAACAACAAAAATAACAAGCAGGATAATGTTTTTATAAAAATAATACTAATAAATATACAAAAATTGTAGTAGAAAATTACTTTTGAATTTTTTTCTCTTCTAAGGAAACGCCAAGAAGCTTCTCAAGAACTGATAAATTTGCTTCTTTTTCTTTTTTGAGGTCATCATCTGAAACATCTTCTGAAGATTGATAAGTTTCTACTTTGGATACATCTTTGTCTTCAGCAAATCTCTCATCCAATTTAAAACGTTCATCTGTTGAAAACTTTTGATGCAGTTTGAATAACTTAAAAAAAGAACTATAACTTTTCACTTTTGATGTAGTTTAAAGAATACAACAAATATGAATGTATTTTTAATGAAAGTAAAAAATTTATAACTTTAGATATTGAGTTTAAAAAAAAAACATTTAGAGCATTGTTGTGCCATAAAATAAATATCATTTAAATATGATTTCCACCCTTAGCAAACTACCTTCAGCCTTGCAATTTGTTGATAAGATTTAAGATCTTCCCTAAATAAGAAACATTTTTTTATTAGTTATAGTCTAAAAAACATTCATACCTTTTCTCCTTTTTCACCTTGAAACTGAGGCTTCAGTTTAAACATGTCACTTTCATCAGTGCTTTCTTCATCAGAACCAAAAAGATCCTAGCAACAAATAGAATATCCTAGTAATAAACAATCTTTAAAACAATGATAATAAACATTTTTAAAGACATTTAAAAAAATATTCAACATACAATTTTCTGTTCATTAACTACTTTTTTAGTATCTTTTAATTCATCTTCATCTTCATCAATACCGAATTTAATACGCGATGATGAACTAAAGTCAATATTTTCTAGTGCCTGTTTAACTAAATCTTTGTTCTTATCAACTGATTTTTTCTTACGCTCAAGAGCTAACAATCTTTGCTGCTCTGAAAATGTATGTTTTTCATTTTTGGTCACTTTCTTTATTCCATTAACACTTAATTTTAAATCAAGGCAAGTAGAATCTGCTCTAGTAACATCACAAGAAACAGTTGACTGATCACATTTGTTGTTAATGCTGTTGTCATTTGACTGATCAGAATCGTTGTTAATGCTGTTGTCATTTGACTGATCAGAATCGTTGTTAATGCTGTCATCATTTTCATTTAAATGAGGATTAAAACTAGAGGAAGAGTTAAAAGAATTTTTAGCGACCAAAGAATCAAAGCTAAAGTCAAAAAGCTTCATTGCATGACAAGTGTTTTCATTATTAGCAGACTCTACAAGCTCATTTGATGTGACTGTGACAGGTGTGACTGAAAGATTAACTTGATTAAAATTATTTCTTGTTAATTGGGATACAATGCTATCACTAAGGTGATTTTGCTGAAACACATCTTCACAGGAATGCTTTGATGGATTGAGCGAGCAAATGTTATTATTGTTATATTCTAATACATTGGAGGTGCTTGTATTAAGTTTTTTAATTTCATCATTATTTGTTAAAAGTTGACAAATCTTATTTTTATCACAGTCAATATCATTTATATGATTCAAAATACTTCTTTTATATTTTTTCTCATTTTCTTCAGAAATAATCAAAGCGCTCTTAAGTTGGTGTAGACTATTTTTTTCAGTTATTTTATTTTCATTTTTTTCAGTTACTATTTTACAATAAAGTTCTTTATTATCTTGAGTTGCCGAAACATTTAAACTTTCATCATTACCTTTTTGCTTAAGAGATTTTTTTTTAACTATTTGATTGTTTTGTTTTATATCTGTTTTATCATTATCAACTGACCATAACAGGTCAGATATACTCTTTTCATCAGTGTCAAGATTAATTTTTTTAAGACAATGACAATGTTTTGAAGGGTCCACCTTAACAATTTTGTTAGTTGGATTTCTAATATAAACAACTGGTAACGGTCGACCATACTTTCCCATCACCCAATTTTTTTCTCCTTCTATTATTGTACCTGGTAATGCTTTTTTCATTTTAGCAGAGGTCTCAAGAATTTCATTATATGACTTTATAGGCTGTATTATTTTTCTCTTGTTCCTTGGTTTTTGAGGTTCTCCCCATTCTTTTTTTAACCTTCAAAAACAAATATCTTTTTTCAAACTTTTGAATAATAAAAACATGCTTTAAAAGTGATGGAAACAATAACAAAAGAAAAACCTTGTTATAAAGTCTTCCTTAGCTAATTGTACTTTTAAATCATGACCATTCCATTTTGTTCCTCCAAACAAAGCAAAGCCTTTAAAATATTTAAAAATTTCAATATATTTTATTACTATTAACATTTATTTTTTTTTTTCAAAAATCAAAATACTTATTAATCTATAAAAATAAAAAAAATTATCAATGTATTCAAGTCATCTTATCTTTTCTTTTTTTTTTTAATTAACACTTTAAAATAAAAAAAATAATAATAATATTGCTTTTAAATAAATAGGAGGTTCCCACAAACATAAAAAACCTCTTAAAATAAAAAAAAAGATTCCTAAAAACTTAATAGCACCTTTTAAAATAAAAAAAAGAAACAACCCATTAAAAAAAAAAAAGAAAAAACTTATTAAAAAAATTTGCAATAAAATAATCAACCAAATAAAAAATAAAAAAACATCTTTTTATTAATATAAAAAATATTAATAAGTTCTAACAATAAAAACTATCCAAACAACTTTAGTGTGTTGTTATTTACCAATTGATCCAATTTTTATTTTTTAATATAAAATTTTCTTCTTAAAAATACCTCATTATTCTAAACCCTAGTCTATAGCAGTAAATGTCCCCTTACTAAATTAGAAAATTCAAGCAAGTGATTTATTATAAACATGTCTAAAACTAGGTCACTTTTATTAAAAAATTTTTTGTGACAAAGGTCACTACAGTCATGCTACTCAAGTTTTTTTTCAATAATATCTGAACCCTAAACTCTGAAATACAAATGTTGTTAAAAAAATTGCTGCGCAAAAAAACAAATTGAGCATGATATGTTAAGAGATGTAGTAATTAATTAATAAGAACAATTCTTAAAACTTTTCTTATTTTTATTGTCCCGCTGATCAACCAATAAATAATAACAACTAGGTTTTTAGGTTTCTAATAGGTAGGTCTCTATGTTTTTTAATTAGCAAATATATATTAGCAAACTAAAAAAAAGAAAAACCACTTTAAGACAAATTGCACTGTTATTTTAGTTTCAAAAAGTATTTTCATAAATGAAGTGAACAACATGAGTAGTAAGAAAAAATAAAGTTTATTAAAAAACAGATTAAAAAATAATTTCATAAAATATGTTTAGCATGCAATTTAAACGAAAAAATGTTTGCAAATTAATCAATTAGGAAGTTTCACTTTTTTTAAAAAAATTCATGTTAATTCATTTCCCCAAGGCCCAGAAAGCCACTAAAGTTGAGGCCGAGAAAGCCACTAAAGTTGAGTAAGCTATTTTTTCATTTTGATCACAACCATCTCTCATTTCTATAACTCCAAAATACGAACCTTGAGCGTGGAACTACCAGGGACATGACGAGGATTGAACTTCTTACTTATGAAGTGAGCTATTACTACACCACTACCTCATTGAGGTGTAGTAATAGTTAAAATATTTTTTAATATTTTTCCAAAATAATCAGAATATATTGCAAAAATAAAACTGATATATACGAAAAAAAATCAGTAATGCAAAATTTTGATTTTTTAGCGCATATTAGCGACTATTTAGCAATAAATTACAAAAAATTAGTTAAAACAGTTTTTTCAAAGTTGATAGAGTTAATTTTAATTTTAAAGCTCTTGATGTTTTTGGCATTAACAACGTTAGACAGCAAGTTATTCCAAGTATTAAAAGCCCTGACCCTAACTCTGAGGGAGAAAAAATATTTATGGACATCAAGTTTACAATTTAGTTTGCATAACTTTAATTTGTAACCTTGAGTGTAAATATAGTTGTTTATTAAAAAGACACTTGATTTATTTAGACAAATTAAATAACGCAAATTTTTCAGCGTAATTTTGTGAAAACAATTCAGCGCTAGAGATTTCACAAGCTTATTCCAACTTTTCAAAATGGACCCAGCTGGGTACCCGAAATGAACTGGTTGTGGCACATCTCTAGTTCCTAGTTGTTTCAAACTTTGGTTTTTAGTGTAACCCAGGTTTATTGAAATATTGGTATTTTATTCTTACACTTTGCAACATAAGGTTTTTATGGGGGGCAATTAGAGGTAATGAAATATTATAAGATGTACTTGTTTAAACAACAGGATAAAACTACATTAATTGTACAATCATTCGTTAAAAAAATTAGATTGGATCATTACAACACTATTGTGCAAATAAAAAGAGTTGGAAGTTATATGTAATATAAGTTTTTAGGTACATAAAGCAATATCAAAAAATATGCCAACAAATCAAAAAAAAATTTCAAGTGCAAACAGTTTGAAAAATGAAACACGATTATAAACTCCTCAAATTGTTTCAAAAATTAAACAGGACTTCAAATACATTATAAAAACTTTGCTGCAACTTACATTTATTTAGTTTTTGCATAGTAGTCATTAAAGTAACATATCCAAAGGTTTTTGATACGTAACCTAAATTTTAATAAATCCTCAATATGATATACAATAAGTAAACATAAAATCCTCAATATATGTAGCCTAAATATTATTAAATCCTCAATATAACATAAAATATGCAAACTTTTTTAAAAAACTAACTTACTCCCAACAAGGCTGTAAGCAATTTAAGTTGGGAGTTACAAGAAAATAAAGATTAATGTTAAAGAGCATGAAAAAAACAGAGGACATAGAAAAGTGTAAATTGTATGAATAAGTCTGAAAACCATAAAGATGGGAGAGAGTTCCAAACCATTGATATGCAAGGAAAGAAACTAGACGAATAAAAGTTTTTAGAGGATGCAAGGACAGATAAAGTAAAAAAATGAGACTTTGTTGAATGACGAATCAAGCAAGAATGAGTTTTAGTTGATGGAATTAGAGATGATAGCTCTTTTGAGCAGCAACCATGATAGTATTTATAGAAAAGAGAAAAAGATGCAAATTTGCAACGATGGGAAAAAGGCTGAAGCTTAGAAGATAGAGTGGGTCTAATTATGTTCACAATGCATTTTGTCTAGAAGAGAATGAACATTATTAGAAGAACTAGCCTAAATAAGACAACAGTATTCCATACAGGGATAAATAAGTGATTAGTAGAAGTAGAGAATAGAATCAGGAGTAAGAATACAACAAGTAAAATAAAGAAAGACAACTTTAATAGATACTAATTTTACAATAGATTATATATATGGTTTCCATAAGAAATTAGTAGTAAACAACATCTGAGAAAAGATAAAGTAGTTTTGCCATTTATCAATTAAAGAATGTCAACAATACTGTTTGCAGTTGTTGGAATTCACAAGCTAATCTAGCTCATAAGCTGTAACACAAGAAAGACAAGTTTCAAGTTTGACTGCCTGTTCCATGTAACAAACAAAGTACAAATAACAAGTAACAAACAAAGCATAAAAAAAAAACCATTTAACATGCCACATACAGTGTTTCAGTAAAATTTAGAACCGCTTACATTTTTTTTCAATACTCGACAGAAAAACTTGAATAGAAGTTAAACGGATTAAGATTTTTCAATTATTTTCTCTAAATTGAGTAGATAAATTAATTGTTTATCAGACACGATTTTAATTGAAATAAAAAAATTGCTAATTGGATTCAAATTAAGACTAAGTAATTATAGGTAATTTTCTAAGCTGATATAAATTATCTATTAAATTTAGCACATAACTTTGAAATCACATATCATAAAAAGTTGTTTTAATTTGAAATTTTGTGTATTTGTTCACTACTATATGAAGGATATGTTACAAAAAAAATTTCTAAAAAATTTAAATTAGAAATAAAGTTAAGATTTATTTCATTTTTGGTAAAAAAATGGGTAAAAAACTTGATGATGCAACAAGATGGCAGATTGTTGCATTAAAACAAAATACAGATAAATCTGACACACAAATACCAAAAGAGTTGGGTGTTTCACGAAAATGCCTCAACAAATTGAGAAAGAGTGTCAAAGATATGCGGCGCTCTGGAAGACCAGAAAAGCTAAGTACCTGAGACAAAAACTTCTTCATACGAAAGGTTAATGCCGAACCTAAAAATACTCTCCAAGAATTAGCAGAGGATTTCAATGATCGTTCAAAAATCATAGTGTTAGCTATGAAATGGTAAGAAAGGTTTTAAAGGAAAAAGGAATCATTTTGTATATTGCTGCTAGGAAGCCACTTTTGACAGTACGATACCGGTTGAGACGACTGAAATGGTGCCGAAAACATGCCAGTTGGTCAGTAGAAGATTGGGCGAAGTGTATTTTCAGTGATGAATCCAAATTCGAGGTCATAAATCGCAAAGGACGAGTTTATGTCAAAAGAAAGAAATGGCAGAAGTATGACATGCGCATGGTATCACCAAGAATACAAGTCAGAGGAGGATCGGCAGGAGTCTGGGGTTGCATCTCTCATAAAGGTATTGGTCTCTGCAATACGTACACCGGTCGGATCAATCAATATAATTACAAAACAACTTTGGAGCAGCATTTAATTCCATCAGCCTGTGAATTTTTCAGAAGACGCAAATGGATTTTTCAGTAAGATGGGGCTCCTGCACACACTGCCAAGTCGATAAAAGCCTGGTTTTCAGAAAAGAAGATCCAAGTAATGCCTTGCCCTCCATCCCCCCCCCCCCCCGATTGCCTGATTTGAATCTGATTAAGAATCTTTAGGCTTGGATGGACCGCCAATTAATGCGCACCAAGCTGACGTCGGTTGAGCACTTAAAGCAAGCGATAGAAGAGACATGGAAGAGTATTCCAAAAGAGTTCTGCATGAAATTGATTGAGTCTATGCCTAGGAGAATTCTTTCGTGTATAAAAGCCCCCGGTGGTCATTTTAAATATTAATATTTGAATTTTTTTGAAATGTGCTATATTTAACTGAATTTTTTTGCTACCCTTATTTTTTATGTCTACTTGTTTTCTTTCATTTTTTTTTTTTTTTTAATATTTTTTTGCGATTTTTTTTTACTTAAATTATAAAATATACCTTATTAAATAAAATAAAATAAAAAAATTGAAAAATCTTAATCTGTTTAATTTCTATTCAAGTTTTTCTGTTGAGTATTGAAAAAAAATGTAAGCGGTTCTAAATTTTACTGAAACACTGTATAAAAACAGCAAACTAAATACAATTCTATTACATCATATAAATAAATTCTATTACATCATATAAATAAA